ACCCACTGCCACCTCATCAGCTTACCAAGTGCCCTGGTACCTATGTACAATGCAGAAAAAATAAAATAATAATAATAATAATAAAAATCTCATGAAAAGAAGATTTATATGCTGTAATATCCCGGAAACTTCCCATGGAGATGAAGACCGTGTGTGTCTGACGCTGTACCGGGATGCTCTGACGCTGTACCACGGGCTGTGCAGGATGCAGCCTGTACTTTTTTGCTCCCTGAGCCCTCCAGTCCCACAGGCTGGCTGTACTCAAGAGTAAAAAGAAGAAACCTGAGCAACCTGCATGCCTATAAAATTTTGTTTGCCAAACGCTGCCTTCTCCATCAGTGCAGGCGCCTATCCTGAGATCATCCTTTCATGCAGCTTTGCTTACCCGTTTATTCCAGCCTTGCAATTGTCCAGGTTTTTCTTCAATTTTCAAATGCATGGCATCCTAGAATGTGGTTTTGTTTTCTTTTTTTAAAATCTTCAATCAATGTGTGAAAGGTAAGCGTGTAAAACTTTATCTCTATTGGCAGGTTTTCACGGCAGTTTCAAAAAAGCTATTTTAATCTCAAGTGCTGGATGTAAATACTAGCTTGGAGTTTCTGTAATGCTGTAGCCTTCTGCTGGCTTATACAATGTCCAGTTATAAAATACAGCCCTTTCTTAAACAAAAGCCACGGTCTTGGAAAGGATCAAAGAATAAAAAGCAGAAATGAGTTTGTCGGGAGATGGATTTTTTTATGCCATACATATAAAATCATCTCAGACCTAAACCCCTTTTTATGGCAATCTTTGCTGCAGCCGCAGTTTCCAAAGGGGTGGGAGGTGGGGGGTATCCCGGGGCTGCGTCCACCGGAACAGCCTGACCCCGTCCCCCCCTCCACGCTTCACTCCGGCCTGGGACTGCGGACGCTGTGCCAGCACGGCCGGAGCCCTGGTGGTACCTGCAGCACTGGGCTCCTGACCGTGCCGCCCGGCCACCGTGCCTGCCCCGCCGCGGGACGTACCTCAGGTTTGTCCAGCCCAGCTTTGCTCAGAGGAGCTGCCGAGGTCAGGGCTGTGCACAAGCCATGCCCCCCCCCGCACTGGCTCTGGCAGCTCACAGGACATCAGGGCAGGTTTTATTGTTTCACCCAAAGGGAATTTTTTCCCTCTCTGAAATATAAAGTTTATTCCTCTTACCCATCAAGATGGGGCTGGTCGACAGGGGGACAGGCTGAGCTTTTATAACGTGGGCCACTCCGCGACGAGAAGCCATCCATTAGCCAAAATTGTTTCTTACTGAAGCTGAATTATGTTTATCTTTTCTGAAAATAAGGTCTCAGGGGGATGTGCTGGAACATGCACCAAATCCCTGAAAAGGCCACGGTTTCAACACATGTCAACAGCGACAGCCAAGTCGAGATTTGTTACTGCAGTGGGAGGTGGACTCGCCCTAGGGACTATGTCAGGATCAAAAAGAAGCTTATTAAGAAAGAGATCTCTCCATAGCATCCACATGCATTTTCAGGATAGTACGAGCATCTCATGGTGCTCACCCTTCTTCAGCGTTCTTGGAGGAACAATTGCTGCAGCATACGGGCCTTCGAGGGAGGAAAAGTGAGTCCCAAAAAGCACAAGTCTTGGTGGGACAGGGATCAGCTTGTTTGCCAACCCTCACCTGCAGCGTGACTGCAGGGGGCTCTGGAAGTTGGACCTGAAATTCTGCGTGTCGCAGGCTCAGCGTGACCCACACGCATCGCTCCCTGACGTCAAGGGGAAAAATACTCCCCTGTGGCAAGGGCTAGGAGAAAAAAAGTGACTCTATTACCCAGAAAATGCCCCCAACCCTTGGGCTCAGGTGGGGCAAGAGAAGCAGCCCGATCTGTGCTGAGCCAAGTCTGTGGCAGCTGCTTGAGAGAGCACAAAGTCCCAATGAACTCAAGAGAAATGATGCTCTAACTGCTGCACTGCAGCAAAAAGCTCCCAGCTAATCTGCCAGCCAAAACCACAGTTCCCAGCCGATGGCCGAGTGGGACCAGAAAGTCAAGGCTGGGATTGGCAGGAGAAGAGTTTAAAGAAATAGTCTGTGGAGTCATAGGAGCACGGAGGAACACGTTTTAGAACATCGCCCTAAAACCCATCACAAAGCCGTACTTAGCCCAGGTCTGCGTGGGACCAGCCCTTTGCTGCAACATTTCAATAGGGGAGGATGAATTCCTACCGCCAAGACAAGTTCCTTTTGCTCCACTTGGTGACAGCCTGCGTGAATCGCTTCCTCCTGGCCTCCGCGGCAGCGAGGTCGGGCAGAGAGCAGCGAGGGGTCTTCATCAGCTCCAGCGTGGCTTCATCTAGGGTTAGGGGGAAAAAAAAAATAGAAATCATGGGAATGGTGGGCTAAGAAATCCCAGGGCGGACAGGGAGATGGGAAGGGAAGTGCTGAGGATGCAGCAGCGGAGCAAGAGGCAATGCCCAAGAGCCCACTGGAGCACGGCACCGGCCCCAGCATCACTTGTGGTGACACCCATGGGCGCTGAGCCCCCTCCGTGCCACGGCTGCACCCACCACCAGCAGCAGTTCCTACTGAAAGCCCATTTCTTCGAAGCAGCCACCAGCTGGGGCTGCCAGGAGGTAAGGGGAGATGACACCCCGCGGCCGGGGGGGGTGGGGGTTAGCTCTGCTGTTAGTGTCAATGGACAGTTTTACCGATTTCGGGAGAAAACGCAGCAGGTTACCTCTTGCGTGACACTTTACAGATCTTGAAAGCTTGTGTGGAAAACCACCTGTGGCTGGCTTTGATTATATTTTAAAACATAAATTTTTAATTATTCTGTTTTATTCTCTCTTGATGAGTTTCCCATTATTCCCCTGGCAAAGCAGAGAGACGTTCGCATGTAAATAAACTATATCTCTGTTCAGCTAGGAGCTCATTTGGAAAATGTTCATATTCCTTCTTATTTATTTTTAAAACTGAATGAAACCTTAAAGCCCCTGTTCTCATCTGCTGGAAGGCAGACACGTTGTTCGTCCACCCTTTTTCCATGCTGGCTTTACCCTTTAACACTTTGTATTCAGGCGCAAACCCACATCTGTGACCTGTCCCGGGCAGCCCCCCAGGCCTGTTTCAAACACCCCCTCCAAAAATGAAAACGCAAATGCACTCGAAAGGCCATCATTGCTCTCGGGCCTCCTGCAGCTTGTGATAAGGTGGAAGAAAAATAATTGCATGCGCTCAGTTAAGAGCGGAGAGGGAAAGTCCCGGCTGATGGGACGCGGCCAGCGGCTGCTCAGGCAGCAGCTGCTCTGAGGGACCGGCGGAGGGCGGCCGGGGTGCCGGGATGGACAGAGACCAGCCTGCTAATTAGCAGCTTCTCGTTAATTCTGTCCCGAGCAGCGGAAGCAAGCTGGCCACGTGGCGGGAGGTCGCGGCCGCACGTCAGGGAGGGAGGGGAGAAGAGCAGACAGGCGCCCTTCCGAGGGCCGGGATAATGCTGGCTTTCTCCTTCCCTCAATGAGGACACTGAGAGGAACGACCCCGGCCATGCCGGGGAACTTGTGTCGCGTCAGCCTGGCCTTGGACTGCTCCCTCCCAGCCAGAAGTAGCTGCCACGTCAGGCAGAAGCCACCCGG